ATATATGTTATTTTAAAATTAATGAGCTTAATTTTTTTAACAACTGGGTATACAATTATTTTTAAATATTTTACTTTAATAGAAAATTTACTTTAATAATATAATTAAGTTATAATATAATATACCGCAGCGGGTTTTCGCTATTGGTATACTGTTCATGTTGACGGTACAGGCTCAATGAGTCGCCATTTTTAATCCCATTCGTTATTCGTACGGACTGTATGTATTATGTTATTTGTGTATTAATTCTCATACACCGCACTGAAAAGCGATTCCTTACCTCAAACGATCCCGTGGATATCGTAAGAGGCGACAGAGGAAAACTGAAACAGGAGATAAGCTGCAGCATCTTGGTAATAGCAGCTAAAATTAATAAAAAACCGCGATTGCCATCCCGCCTGCAAAAAGTGGCAAATATAACAAATATATGTTCAGCAGTGCACTTTTGATGGGCTGCAATGAACGGAGAATTTAATGAAATATTAGTATTTAATTATGAAAGGTTCTGACAACCCTTGTATAATAAATGTACACAGTGATATAATTCTTCACGTAAACATTTGTAACATTGTTGCCAAACTGTTAAAATATTTGCAGTAAAAATTGTTGAGAAAGTTTCAATCATAGATGTACGTATGTTACTTAAGCTATTACTGCCTCGTTCGTCCAGTGGTTATAAACGCGAGTGCTGATCATGAGGTCCTGGGTTCGAATCACGGATCGAGCCAAAATCAGTTGTTGGGTTTTTCTGGCAAGAAATTCTCACCTGGAGTTAGGAAGTTGGTTACCACCACATCAGACTATGAGAGTGAGGGAATAGAGAATGCACCTGTGCTTGTGCATACGAGTACACTTGGGTACTATAATCCTGTGCTGCGCAGATGGCTAGTCAGAGTTGAGATTGGCTGCTGCGACCGAAATTAGGTCTGGAGGATATTATTATCAAGATTTATGGTGTACCTATCCATAATATGCATGGTAAAGGACGGTAAAGGATTAAAAGTAAAAATGGTATTTTTGAAATATTGACGTAATTTAAAGTTTGGATTCGGAACAGCGTTCAGTGAGTGCGAGTGCGGAGACTCTCTCCGCTTGTTCTAACTTTGCTTCTCAGTCTTTTGTTCTCGTCAGCTGAGTCTTTTGATGATATTGTTTTTACTGTATAAAAATATTTATTTGACGTTGAGGGATAGTGGCTTCATGGCTTGAGCTGGTACGCTGAGGGATGAGGGACGTGGCTCGAATAGGCGCACGGAGTAAGTACTTGTATGCCCTACAAATAATAATTGCTCATGCTTCCACGATACTACAAAAATCTTAGTGAGGGGATAATACAAAAAAAGATCTAAAAGTTTATTTTGACATATATAATAAAATAGTTCTTATTCGCCCTTTTTTACAAAAAGTTATGTGCTAATCTACGAATAATCAATATCTATGCTAAGGTATAATTATAATGGTATAGGCGTGATTGAGGGACGGACATCCCACTAAAAGTACTTTCAAATTTATATTTTTTAGGCTCAGCTTCATCTGAGTTTTTAGGTTTTTAATTTTATGTCCGGGGAATGGCACCATATGCTGAAATACAGGTTTAGGCCTATTTCGGCAATAGATGCTATTTTTTTGTTACAAAAGTGTTATAAGATAAAATTTCCTGTGTAGTTTATACATAAATAGACATATTGTTAACTGATTTATATGGAAATAAAGATTATTCGTATTCGTATCGTCAAAGGCGTAGCTCCCGAACTTTGCAAGTACTACATTCAATTTTAAATGACCCCAATTTCCCTCTTATCTTAAGGATAACTTTCAATTGTATTCTACTAACGATAGAGTTCCCCGTTCCCAAAATTGTCTTAAAATTCGTATTCCACCACATAGGAGTGGTTTCTTTAATTCCTCTTTTACTATACAGTCTTTACTGCTCTGTAATGCCTTGCCTGTTTATATCAAGAAAACTAATAACAAGAATTATTTTAAAAGACTAGTTCGAGAGTTCTGTCGTAAGAATAATACCACCTGACTATCCGACTATTGTTTTTTTTCTCTCTTTCACTTTATAAGTAATATTTTGTATAATGTATTTTAATATGTATTATGTTATTTTATATATTTATTATTTATCCTATATTATATATTAAGTAAGTATGTATATTTTTCTAACTATATATCTATTCTATTCATTTGCATTTTATTTTGTTTTATATTTTTATTATTTATTTATGAAGTGATTGGTAACACCTGCCACAGTTTCTCAAATCATCCAGGGTTGACTGGCAGAGAATGCCATAAGGCATTAAGTCCGCCCTTCGTATATAAGGTGTATAATAAAGATTAAATAAATAAATAAATAAATTATTTTCTGCGGTATTATGTACACTTTTTATACACTGGATAAACATCCAGACCCACAACGATTATTTTCATGTCAAACATACTAATTATTTGTTCTGTGTGGGGTTTGAACCTGCGGCAATAAAGCGTCACGGGGCCCAGCGAAATGTTTAACCACTTCCGAGTAGACGGTATATTTTGATCAAAGTCGAGTTAGATCGTTTTTGAGAAACTATGTTTAAATATGTAACTAGAAAAAAGGAAGTAGCCCGTTATATACATGATTTGAAGTTAAGCAATTCTTGTATATATATATATATATTTTTTTTTTATTATCGGAATCTCGGAAACGGCTCCAACGATTTTCATAAAATTTTGTGTGCAGGGAGTTTCGGGGGCAATAAATCGATCTAGCTAGGATTTATTTTTAGAAAATGTCTTTTTGTCCGTGTTTTTAGGCAATGAAAAACTGTTACAATATCGTTAGAATAAGAAGGTAAATTTTGACAGTTTATTAATGATCATAAATAGCTTAATTGGTATATTGGGCGGTCACAAAATCGTGATACAATGGTTTGAGCCCAGACCGACCGACTTTTTTTAATTTTTTTCAAGTTCTTTTCTTTTTTGAGAAAATCTATTTTTTCGAGCCCTTTTTTAGTATTTTTTAAAAACACTAAAATTTAAATTAAACTAATTGCATTCATGATTTTTTATTCAAATAACCAGTTCAGTTTTTTCTATTATGTTTTTCGCTAAGATTCAAAAAAAATATTATTCGTATTTAATCAGTATGTAATTTGTATCTAAATATAATTTCCAAAACACACGAATTAAAAAAACCGAGCGAAAAATACCGAGCAAAGCTCGGTCAAGCGGGTACTAATTAATTTATGAAAAAAAAACAACAGTATCATAAAAGTGATAGATGACATAGATTGTATCCTAAAAAATATTTGCCCTGTATCATTATGCATAGAGAAAAAAAATCTAATGATTTTTTAAAGTTTTTTTTTTAATTGGTCAACGATTGACAAAGATATCGAGTAACATCGATTACATCATACATATAAAAAATTGAGGTCTTTGAATAACTTTTTTGTAGTCAGCTAAAAACGGAGGAATGAATATCGTAAGTTTATATGGACGACATGGCACGGCGCGTCGTAGTTTTTTTTTTCGTGAACATAAGATTTTAATGAAATTAGCACTGATAATCATTTGTTTTAATACGAATAGACCGAAACGTCTCGCGTAACACTGCGGAATTTGCTGCACGTCACGTCATTTCCTGAAATACTGCGACACGTCACGGCATTCCGTGAGATGTCGCCGCTATATCACGTGAAATGCATAGCTTACTTCATGTTGTCATAGGAATGTGCCTGCTAAGTAATTGAAACAGGGTTAAATGAAGCCCGCTTCACGCGAGCTCCTGGTAAACAAGCGCGTCGTAACTTATTTGGCATGCCGCGGGATGCCACAGGATCCTTCGGCATGACGCGAGATGCCACAGGATCGTTCGGCATACTGAAGTTTGCCTTGCCGTGCCGTCTGTGAGCGCAGGCCCTTACAACTTATGGTACGGAAAATCCGACACACTGCTTTAGAGCCAAATGTCTCGAGTTTCTTAAAATATTTTAGTATTTCAGATATGCAGTTTTCTTCACAATATTTATTTAATTACCGAGTACGTCGTTAATGAGCACTTAAAATAGTAAGTTAACTAATGCAGTGATCCTTAGGGATCGAGTTTATGTTACTCATGCAGGTACATACCACGAAATATAAGGTATGGGTACACCTATCCATCCCAGCATGCTGCGTTACCTGTTGACGAACTTCACATGCCTTCGAATTTTTTTATTTTGATTTTTTTACATGTAGGTTGCCTTACCACGGGCACGTGGTAAATCAGCACTTAAAATTTCAATCAACAATTTCTTTGGTGGATATCGAATACGGCAAGCACTTAGCCTCTAATCTCTTCTTAAAGTCCCTAGTTTAATAAGTCTCTAGTAATAGTTTTTCAAATAAATATTAAGCTAAGGAGTATGTTAGGGCTGAATCTGAGTGACAGGGTGAGAAACTGTATGATTAAAGAAGAGTGTGGTTTGCAAGATGATGCTGTAACAAGGATTAAGAAAGGAATGCTTCGGTGGTTTGGTCATGTAGAAAGAATGAATGAGATAAGACTGACAAAGCAAATATATGTTGCAGAAGTGAATGGAAGAGTCGGAAACGGACGCCCTACGCGAAAGTTGGTCGACCAAATTGGCGATATATTAAAAATGGACCAAATTAAGAGCCCTTAAACGACGAGCATGTATGCGTATTTATATGGATGTGGAGGAAGTGTAGAGGTATGTTAGGATCGTGCCAAAATGAAGTCTGTAGTCTCTGCCTACCCCTCTGGGTGACAGGCGTGAGTGTTTATGTTTATGTTTTTATTATAGTAACGTAAATTCTCTGATGATAAAATTTTCTCATCTCACGTTAAAATAGTTACATCATTTACGTTATTATATGAACGCATGTTTTGATAAGGAGAACAATACTTCTACTCATAATAATAATAGGCGACAGAGCCTTTGTTAGAACAATTCTATTTTAAATTCGATATTCGTTCTTCGGCTCTTGTCCACACCGAACCAGAGAAAATGATTGTAGAGCTTTGTCTGCTTCTAAGAATCGTGTTAAATGAAAACCTAAACCTGGCTCGTCTGTCCGTTACTACTTGTGAAGGTAAACAATATTTTTCTCAGAACTCCTTTTCATATTCACTTAAGCGCAAAATCAAATTCAACATCACAGTCGTCGGTCGTCGCAGAGTCGAACGCATATAGTACATTTACCATTTAAATTTTGCTTTTTGAAGATGTATTCATATTTATTTGCAACGCTGACTGTACTCTCTTGTGTAACAGATTTTGTTATTACCGAAAGTAATTTCAATTCATTTCTACATATTATATAGCGGGTAGCTTGCGATTGCGTTTATTTTTAAACAATTTCAATACCTCTTTTAGGTACCAAAGAGCCCGTGGAGGAAATTCAATCAGTACAAAATTTCAAGATGCCCTCAAAAGACTATCCTTCGACTCCGAACACATGGGAAATAAATCCAAATTTAAATTCAATGTGGGCTTACCGCCCAGCTCCTGCTGTAAGTAATATTTATAAGTTTTTAATTTAATTATAAGGGTTTAAATTTGAAATTCGATTCCAGTCATTTAAGATAACAATAATATATATTTATACTTAAAAATTTCTATTTCCTATTTTTATTAATTTCAATTTAACTAACAATAATAACTGTTATAAAATATTATAAGTAAAAAATACCGGGGGCTATTTGGTGCGGTTCCCCCGATTAATGTAGTGTCGACCTTCGGTAGACGATGGATGCAGGCGGCTCAACACCATGCTTTGTGGCATGACTCGGGGGAGGTATATATAGGTATAGATATGCTTAGCAGTGGACTCGTGAGTGGCTGTAATGATTGATGATGATGAAATCTAGAGCGGGTGTTTTCTGTAATTTATTTTTGTTTTCTAATAATATTTCTGATTTTTTAACGCATTCGTTGTGTATTAGTCGGTTTTATAATATGTACTTGGCATTTACATGTCATATTTTTGAAAGTAAGATTTCTTTTGTGTGCAATTATAATATCAATTAAGCCCAATGATTTCAAAAGGAAAGATAGGTCCTTCTAAATATTTTACTCATAACTTTTTCGTACAAGAAAAAGTAGCGCATCTGTCAAAATATAAACGTCATATCAAAGCACGACGTAACAAGGGTTGGATTTCGTAGTATAATTATCCTAGTTGTATCATTATTTCAAAGTTTGAGTATATAGTATTGTAAAAATACAAAGCGAAAATACCATAATTTTACATAAAGGTCGACTTGTATTATTACTGGGTCCTTTTTAATTTTAATATTAATCCTACGATATCGAGAATTTTTTGTATTGTACATGATTACCGCGTTTTTTAATAAAATTAGAATTAGCTCTCTTTCTGATCAATCGATGCTCTTTCAGTGCATTTATGTTGCATTCTTGATACTACTTTAATGAGGGGCTACCAAGATAAAAACTCTATGCTCCAGAAGCAATTGGTTTAAAAACAGAATTTCAAAATATTTTATGAATCAGATTTTCAGATTCAATTAAGCAGATATGGTTTCTTTTGTACTCTTTTCATTTTACCCTAATTGAATATAAAATATATTAGGTACTGATATTCAAAATTTAACTTACACTAAGTTCTTTAGACAAAAATTAAACGGAAGTAAAAATAAAACCGTCAAAAAACGAAACGTATAGATAAACTAGACGCGTGACGCCAAAATCCAAAAAAATATGGGAAAAAGAAACATGAAACGTCAAACGTGATATATTTTTTTTAAATAGTATAATTTTAATTTCCATGTACAATATTTTTGAGGCTCTGAATCCAGCCCTGGCCTAATCTTGGTAACGTAACTAAACTAACTGTAAAATAAAACTTTAAAATGCTTTTATATAATAATTTAATTGTAACAAAATTAATATAAGGTTATTAACCGATGATATGATATCCCATATTTTTTTTAATCTTTATTTCGTAATTTTTGCATTCTTTTACCACGCAACTAGACATATTTATGACAGGCAAATCTGTCCTGCGCGCGCACTACTGTTGACCGATTCGCGTTGGCCAGCGCACTGGTCCGTTTTAGTTGTTCGGTCGGCCCGGTCCTTACGCTAGTAATATATAAGTCAATGATTAAGCAAAGCAATTAAATAGCAAAATGCTTTTACAATATTTGGATAGTTTTTCACCCAAGTTTCAACAGTCAAGTTTGACTGCCTCGTTGTTCTAGTGGTTGTAAAATCGACTATTGATAGTGTGACGGGACCCGGGACGGGTTCGAACCCCGGGTCAAAAACGGTTTTATGTTTTTCTATTGTTCCACCGAATCAACCCCCCCCCCCCCCCCCGAAATTATTTTCTGGCTACGGCCTTATCTCCAGTGCTCTACACTCACCTTACAAAATACTGCAGTGTTGAGATTTTACCCTGGTATTCTGTGAGAACATGTTCTTCCTCGGTTGATCCGATAAATTCATTCTACAACCATAATACAGCTGCAACGTGGCTCTACCACGTAATTAGTACGGAGTCTCTTGTTAAAACTACGTTCGCTCGTTCGACTGTGATTCCAGTGCTTCATTTTGGTTACTTCTTATTATTGGACCGTCTTTTAAAGTTCACGTACATATGATTTTTAAAAGTCTTTTTTACAGCAGGCACAACACCCCGGTGATCAAATGGCGCGTACGGTGTTGGTGAGATCCCCTAAATCGCTAACTAAACTAGCCAAATCATTAACACTGGGATATGATCCATATTTTGAGAAGGTACGAGTACAACTTTGTTACTACCCTGCCATGAGTCGTATATATACTACCACATACTCTTATACATTTCATGGACGCGATCACCCGTATTCTCTCGTTTCTTACCACATATGTATTATATATTATTACCTAACAATTTCGATCAATATAAAAAAGGTTCTTTTATTTTTAAGTCTAATAATAGTAACGTCGGTATAACGGGCAATTTTAGTAATTTTGAAAGGTTACATAAAAATTGGTTATTGGTTATAATAAATAGATTGTATCCTAAAAACATATCTGCTTTTATATTATTATTCTAGGAGAAAACATAGGAACATGTTTGTACGTGTGTAATTTCCGCCTGGATGTCCTCTTAAGACGATAAACGAGCTAAGAGCCCACACACCTTACGTGGCAGTGTAGTTTGTAGTTACAGCGCAGGAAGAATTTACAAGCAATTTTAAAAGATTTAAATATAGAATAAACTAGCTGTATTATCTTTTAAAACACACCAGTATGTACACAACTAGCTTGGCAGAAAAGAAACTCTACCACCTAGCTATTAAGTCTTGGAATGTATCATATCATAGACTTAGAATAAACTGGCGTAAGTATATTCTAAGTATATGTATTATATAATTTATTTCATTATTACATCTCAATAGATTTAAAATTTTGTTTTCAGAATTAGGATTATAAAGTTATTGTTGTTAACTTGCTAATGTCATCCTCATCAGGCCAGCTCACCACTGCTGGACATATGCTTCCACTATTGTAATCACTAATCACGCTTAGCAGTTGATTTGATATTAGTACCAGATTTTTCGCATCTTCTACGCTGCTTCCTGTCTTTGTCGCTGGCCTTTGTATTTTACATTATGTGTATTGTGTAACAAGATGGTTATCCGCCATCTACCGAATCCCACAATATCTTTTTGGCACATCCCATTCCCACAGTCGCCTCCTATAATACCAGCAGGCAGGAAATGGGTTGCTCTTATGCCGTACTATCCGGCAAATATATATATATATATATATATATATATATATATATATATTATATATATAGATATATTACATATATACATATATATATACATATATATACATTCGAAACATTCAAAACAGCCTATGATGAATGCTATAAGAGACGAGAATGGTTATGTTCTGAATGATGAAGTTTTGAGTTTAAAGAGATGGAAGGAATATTTTGAAAGCGTGTTTATGAGTGAGGAGACAACGTGTGTACTAAGTGAAGTAGAAATTCCGAAAGAAGAGGAAAGAGGTAGCGAGATAAGTATAGGTGAAATAATGAAAGCAATGAAAAGCATGAAAGCAGGTAAGGCTGCTGGATATGATAGAGTTTCACTCGAAATGCTAAGGGCTGGAGAGGAAGTGGTGGCAGGCCTGCTGCACACCTTGTTTAATTTATGCTGGGAACTGAAGCGGGTACCGGTAGACTGGTGCAAAGCCGTGATAGTCCCAGTATATAAGGGAAAAGGGTCGCAGCAGGACTGTAAAAACTACCGTGGCATCAGCCTTCTTAGCATTATGGGAAAACTGTATGCTAAAGTACTGATTGAAAGGGTCATGAAAGAAACTGATGGAAAAATTTGGGATGTGCAAGCGGGATTTAGAAAGGGAATGGGATGTACAGATCAAGTCTTTTCCATGCGCATGATCGCGGAGAAGTTTTTGGCCAAAAACCAAAAGGTTTTTTTGTGCGTTCATGGACTTGGAAAAGGCCTAGGACAGAGTGAATAGGGATGTGCTATGGCAAACACTGAAGTCATTTGGGTTGGGCGCTGGCTTGATACAGGCATTGGAGTCCCTTTATAGAGACTCCAGTGCTTGTGTTAGGATCAACGGGGTCTACTCGGACTGGTTTGACATCCATAAAGGTGTCAGACAGGGCTGTGTGGCTTCCCCGTGGCTGTTCAACCTATTAATGGACAGTTGTTTGCAAAATTTGAAAGTTGAAGAATGCGGATTAAGAATGGGTGAGTTAACCGTCAAATGCCTTTTGTACGCCGATGATCAAGTTATCCTTGCGTCGTCGGCGGCCGAGTTGCAAATGATGGTTACATTAATGAACAGATCATTAAAAGAAAGGGGTATGAAAGTGAACGCAAGTAAGACGAAGGTTATGGTTTTTGAAAGAGAAGAAAGTAAAACGATTTGTGAAATAAGAATAGAAGGGGAGTTGATCGAGCAAGTAGATGAGTTTGTATATTTGGGCTGCGTATTTAGCAGGGATGGGAGATATGATAAGGATATAGAACGACGAGTGAATGCGGGAAATAGAGTAAATGGGGCCCTGCACTCTAATGTGAAGAGTTAAAATGTGTCGAAAAAGGCACGTATGGCAATTCACAATGCTGTGTTGGTCCCTACTTTAATGTATGGTAGTGAAAGTTGGGTGTGGCAGAAGAAGCACGAGAGTAGAATGCACGCAGTAGAAATGCGGTCGTTAAGGAGTTTGTTAGGGCTGAATCTTAATGACAGGGTAAGAAATTGTGTAATAAGAGAAGAGTGTGGTTTGCAAGATGATGTTGTGACCAGGATTAAGAAAGGAATGCTTCGGTGGTTTGGTCATGTGAAAAGAATGAATGAGGAAAGAGTGACAAAGAAAATTTATGTTGCAGAAGTGAATGGCAGAGTCGGAAAGGGACGTCCTAGGCGAAAATTTATCGACCAAATTGGCGATTTATTGAAAACGGGCCAAATTAGGAGTACCCTTAACCGACGAGCATGTATGCGGAGGTGTATGGATGTGAAGGAGGCGAGAGAGGTGTGTCAGGATCGTGCCAAATGGAAGTCTGTAGTCTCTGCCTACCCCTCTGGGTGACAGGCGTGAGTGTTTATGTATGTATATATACATATATATATAATATTGCTTATTATATATATTTAGATAAAATCTTATTGTTTAGTGAAAAATAGTGGAAATAAATAGCTGTATATATAAAAGTATATATAAAAAGAATATTATTATTAAATGTATTATTTTTAATTAAAAAATAAAATTCTTTTATTTATTTAAATTGTATATGAATTATTGCTGCCTCACAAACAGGTCGGTTCGACCGGGAAAAGACCAAGCTCTAACAGAATACCAATCTCAAAGAACAGCATTATGCTGCTATGTTTTGTATTGTGTTTGAGAGACCAGAAACTTTAATAAGATATTCCATCTTATTAGTTATTAGACAATTATCAGACAAATTGTATGGACCCACAATATTCAAATATTAGCAGGTGGATTATATAATTGTTTATCACAATTATTTTAATTAAAAAACTAATGCCCATTTATCATATTTGGAGCCGTGTAAGTAAAAACGGAAGTCATACTTGATGTACAAACTTTCCTGCCTTTTTTCAGGACTTTTTCGAACCGTTTGAAAGACGACAAAGGCCGGTGACTCTTGTCGGATTTAGGAAAAATGGATTTTTACCGCGAATTCACATTAAGGTAGCTAAAGAAATTTGAGATAAAGTAAGCAAATTTATTACAATTTATAATGAAACTATCCATTCACTACAGCATATACAGCATATAGTTACTACTATATTATGTATAAGGAGTCTAATTGAAATATTATTGTTACTATAATAGATTGTTTTTTTAAAGAATTTTTATGGTGACACTAAGTTCGAGTGTGATTGTGCACGATCGTCAAGTATTAATTTATTGGAATTTCATCTCAATCTCAATATAAGACCAATTAAATTTACCTAAATTTATATCCATAAACAATAAAATTATCTCTTTTGTTCAATGAATGTTAATTTACGAACTTACTTTATTACAAACTTTTTACATTCCTTTTTTTTCAGGGTGCAACGGGGAATACGGGTGAAATAGCAGAACTCCAGTCTCCTTTTAATGAAATCAGCAGTTTTTGGCAGGAAGAACATGAAACACTGCGTAAATAAGTTTCAAGTTTCGTGTGGAATTTATTTATTTTTGGAAATATATATATATATAAATTTAAAGCGTTGTTACCATTTGCTTTATTTGTGTCACTTTGCATTGTAGTGGCCGCCAAACGAATTTTTATGCAATCAAAGGTGACAAACAAGCTACCAATCTACCGGATGTTAAGTGTAGGCTGTGGTCATCAATGTGCATGCGGTGTCGCCTCTGAGGCCCAATATGGAATGCCTCGATACTAGTAAAGTACTCGCTGCCCACAGTACGAAACTCGGTGGCATTATGCTAGTATTTTACGTTCTTAGATATTTTGTGCAAACGGCACCCTTGCCGGTCCAGTTGACTTAGCGAGACGAGCTGCTTGAAGCAGCTGTCAAAATATAGATGAAACATGGCTTTACCACGTGAAAAAGGTGACAAAGGTAACTTCAACCACTATGATACTTATTATCATCACCATCATCATTTCCACCGTCATCATTTCCACCATCATCACCATCATCATATCAACCATCACCACCACCACCGAACCACCATCACAACAATAACAACAAAAAACCGCCTCTCCATTATCACCATTACAACCCTTCACAAATTCAGCTGAAAACAGGGCTCACCCAATAAATGTCACATAACTGTATAATCTAGTCATCTGAGAATTCCAAAATACTATGTTTTAAAATAGACAACATCTATCATGTTTATTGTGGTCTCCGTCCTTTTAAGCTCATAATTCAATTACACTTTACTAGGGTCATCTGAATCCAGCATGCTTGTAACTAGGAACTTAACAAAGCATTATTTGACTTAAACAACGTTTTTAGAATTACCCTTTGCAATTTATAGCTTCTGGTTGCATACTTGCAAAATGACACCATATCCAGAATTTAGTAGGCAGTTACTTAAAGTTACAGCTTATATAAATCCCACTGCTGGGTACAGGCCTCGTTTCATTTCTGAGAGGGTTTTAGGGCAAGGAAATGTCCGCTGCGCTGCTGCGATGCGTGTTGGCGAACTTCACATGTCTTTGAAATATTTTTTTTATTTCAAAGACATGACTGTTTCATCATGACGTTTTTCTACACCGCCGAAAAGAACAGTGGTTCATTGGTGACGACGGGAATCAAACCCGGGTTGCTCGCGTACCCAGCGAGCGTTTAGCCCCTGAGCTATCACAGCTTCTTTATTCTGTACAAATAAATATTAACTTGTTTGTATATAGAATTGGCAACATGCCAATTCTATATACAAATTTTTGCTGCACTACTATTTTTACTAGCACACAGTCCACCAGATGGTAAGTGGTTGCTGTGGCCCATAAACAACTACATCTATCCTCAATTACGAACCAAAATTCTGATGCGTTATCACCCGTGAGGTCTAGGATGGAATGCCTCGTTTCCAGTAAAAAGGGTCTCCGGTTCTCTACACTCACCATACAGCAGCAAACACAGCAGCATTAAGCTGCTATTTCACGGTGGTATTCTGTGAGAGCGTGGTCTTTCCCCGGTCGAGCCGACCCGTTCGTGCTACAACTATACCACTAATATAGCTGCAGCATGGCTCTACCACGTGAATTATGTCACATCTTCTCACCGGTATACCTCAAAATCCGAAACAAGAAGAAAACAAACAATCAGTGCGTGTTGCCAGCGATGACATAGATTTGAGAAGTGTCCCTTCACTGTTGGCGCGAGGATGAGGAAGCTCAAGGTCGCTCAACGAGCTCTGAAGAGAGCTATGTCGGGATTTCTTTGCGTTACAGACTAAAAATGAAGATATCCACAATAGAACCAGAATTACCGAAATAGTCCAACGAATTCGTGAATAGAAGTGGCAATGAATCAGCCATATAACTCTGCGAACCGACTATTGAAGGGAAGAAAGATTCTCGAGTGGCAGCCTTGTACCGGTAAGCGAAGTGTAGGGCGGCCCTCTACTAGATGGAGTGAAGACCTGGTAAGACATGCAGGGAATCGATGGATGCAGGTGGCTCAGCACCGTACTTTGTGACATTCTTTGGGGGAGGCATATATGTTCAGCAGTGGACTTGTGAACACACTACTACATAACTATTCCTTGGCCTCGGCCAAGTGGTCAATCGTCGGCTCCAAACTGGTTGTGCACGGTCCGGGAGATTAAAACACATCTTATTCCCCAAAACTTAAAAAGCAGAGTATACCGGAAAGCGTAGTGTGGGGTGGCCCACCAATACGTGCAGTATCGACCTATTAAGAGATGGATGCAGGTGTCTGATAATCATCCTGTGTGGCATTCCTTGTTCTATGTTCACTAGTGAACTTGTGAAGGGCTGTAACGATGATGATTTATGATGGTGAAAATAGTCTTGTCTAATAAAATATTTTTCGTATTTCAATTTATCCATTGAAATTAATCTCTATAAAATATAAATCTTATGAGATGCACATTATGAGTTATGACGTAGAACATCGCACTATTTGAGCTAAATCTTGGATTATTGCGACACATATGCATGAATATGCATATCTGTTGTGTCGCATATGCATGAATATATTACAAAAATATGCCATGATTGTCGATATGTTTTATTATTTTACTCTAATATATTATTTTACTCTCGCAGTTCACATAAATATTACAAGTATTGTTTTATAGAATTTAAGTTAATAAGCAACAACCAAGCTATACGATTGAATCAAATGTTTGTCACTAAATAAGCTTATAGTTAGCATTTAATTAACGTTAAATTTTAAACATCTGAGAGTGCACCTCTTCACAATTGTCTCGTTTTAACGAATATTAATAAAGCTACTTGTACAAGGGTCTTAGGCTTAGACAGGTACTCTCACATCTTTTGACTTTAGCAAGTTATAGGTCACCGTAAAGGCTGTGTATTAACAGTTTTATTTGAATAAGAATCACTTATTCCAAATTGTTTTTGTTCTTTTTTCGTGAGAATCTGATAGGAATTCACATGAAACATTGGGGCTCAGTCAAAATGATGGCAACAAGACTGTTTAAAAAATTTAATAGCGTAATTTTTTATGATATACTTCAAATGTATGATAAAAAGTTGAGTTGAATCCGTCGATTGAACTCTCGATCGAAGTTTGGCTTACCTAGTCGGTCTATTTGTCCCAGGAAAACATATTAGTCAAAAAGCTTAGTTCTCCCAACAACTACCGGCAGAGGTGTGACATCGACGTTACACATGATATTTGGTTTGTTCCATGTTCATCATAAGACCTATCTGTTTGGAGACACTATTGAGGTCATTGAGCATAGTGCTTAGGTTCTCCGGTGATCTTGCCATAAGGACTATATCGTCGGCAAATCGAAGGTGAGTGATGTACTCGCCATTGATGTTAATACCGTATCCTTTCCAGCCCAGAAGCTTGAAAACGTCTTCTAATGCAGCGGTGAAGAGTTTCAGGGATATAGCGTTATCCCGTCTTACACTTCGCTGCAGTTGGAGAGGTTTCGTACTCTGGTTTTGTACTTGGATAGCCATCGTAGCTGTACTGTACAAACACTTCATCGTTTCGGATACCGACAGTCAACTTGGCACCGCTGAAGAGACAGCAGCACCGCCCGAATTTCAATGGAATCAAAGTATTTTTCGTAGTCCACACACGCAAGACAAAGTGGCAGATTGTACTATTCGATTCTCAGTGCAATTTGCCGAAGCGTATTTATGTGGTCTATGGTATTAAAGCCTTTTCGGAAACCGGCTTATTCGGGAGACTGAGAGTCGTCTAGTCTGCGTGCGAGAAGATCTTATAGCCTCGCCGCATGCATTTTGAGATCTGTTTGTTTAGTTGCCCGTAAGCTGTCAAATCTACTGAAAACTGCTATTTCATCTCACGTCTAATGGCGATGAGATTAAGAGTGTGATCGGAAAGTTTTTGTGTTCTAGCGCGAGGGGTTTTACAGAATTTACCTCTGACAGTTTCTACAAGCTTGTCATTCATATCGTCCACTTCATTGTCAGTCTTCTAGGCACTGAAAACGATTTTGTAATTTGAGATAAAAGTGTTCGGGGCTTTGGATAAGCGCATGAGGGGGACGGACCGCTGACTTGATTTCTTTTATAGGTTAGGGTGAAACGAACGAAACGAAACGAGCACACAGTCCACCTGATGGTAAGTGGTTGCTGTGGCCCATAGACATCTACATCTATCCCCGATTACGAATCAAAATGCAGATGCGTTGTCTCCCGTGAGAACTAAGATGGAATGCATCGTTTCCAGTAAAAAGGGTCTCCGGTTCTTTACACTCACCATAAGAAACACAGCAGCATTATGCTACTATTTGACGCTGGTATTCTGTGAGAGCGTGGTCCTTCCCCGGTCGAACCGACTCATTCGTGCTACAACTATACTACTAATATAACTGCAGATATGGCTCTACCACGTAAAAATTCATTAGACGTGACCTCTCCAACTTAAGGTTTAAATTCAGTGTGCCTCTCACCATTTGGTGATCGCTGCCAATTTTCACCCTCGCGATTACTGAGACATCACTGAACAGTTGTTGTCTGGTCGTCATAATTAAGTCAATCTCATTTTTTGTCGAACCGTCGGGGCTTGATCAGCCCATTTTCTATGGGGCCGCTCAAATACACATAATAAAAATCATCAAAATCGTGCGAGCCGTTTTCGAGTTTTAGCGACACTGACGGACATCATTTAATTTTTATATATAAGAGAAGATTAAGATTTAAATGTATGCATACAATAAAAACGTAAAGCAAAAATAAATATATGTAGTAGGTGCGTTTCTTTTGGACTTTCTACAGCAACGTCATTCTACAGATGGACTCTTTAGGCCTATAGCTGTTGTATTAAGCATTAGAGAGCTCAATACGATGATCCTTAAAGACCATTCCTTATGTTTCGCTATCATGAAATATATATGAAAATGACTATAATACCATCTTTAAGATTAATATATAATGATTGTGAAAATCTAAATATTCTTTGATAAATACAGCATAATCGATGTACATGTCTACATAGTT